TTAGAATAGCCCCTGGCACAGAAGCAGCACTCTAGAAATCTTGTAAATAAAACGGCCCCCTGTGCCTGCCCTGTTCTTTCTAGAATGCTGTACTGAGTTCAGTTCAGGGAGTGATTCTTGTTCTCCCCACTTCTGCCTCTTCTAGAAACTAGGATCCCTGTGTCATTTGGGTGACACCTGGCTGCAAGACACAAGACCTCAACTCTCTGATTCCCTGCTTTTATGGCACGTGTTATTAGTATTGAATTTTGAAAAGAGCCCTTTCAGCCTTGTTGTGTAAGGACAATAAGCCAGATTCAGCGGTTGGTACTGTTTACTACCTTTGCCTTCCAATTTTCAGGTTTGATGGCTATAAAAGGTTTCCATGTCCAAACAAATGTAGTTGGAACACATGCCTTCTCTAGGCAAAGTGCACTCTTGATTCTGTGGAATTTGAGAGTGGGCTTTAGATTCAGCGCTTCGTTAGGTTTGTGCCCTGGTTTTGCCATTTAGCAATGGTGTGTGGCCTTATAAGGGCAAGCTAGCCCCTAGGCCTCTGTTTCCAATAGGGGTTCCTGCCTTGCAGACTGGGTTCCTCTATGGGGTCTGTCTGAGATTCTCTGGTGCTGCTGACATCCTCTACCAATAGCTCAGGACCCAGCCCGTGGTTCTGCCAAAAGGCTGACACTCACCTCTGCTTCCCACGCTCCCAAATGCGGTGCTTGTCCTCACTGCTGTTTTCTGTGACCATGTGAGTTTATGCTTTCCTTAACAGTATCCCTCTTCTGCCTGTTTAGTGCTACGTTCATAGAGGCACAGAGGTAAATGTATGCCTTCAGTAACCATCTTTAACCAGGAGCCATCTTGCCATTTTTAAAGGAACATTCTTTAACCCTATTTGTTATCATAAACAACAGTGTCTTTTGAATTTTCCCTGTAAGAATAAATTTAATGCTTTCCTTCTTCATTCTGTTTTCATTAAGATAATCTGAGGATTCATTTTTTTATTATTGTTGTTACATATTTTATGTTAAATTATCCCTTAAGAACAATACCATTTAATTTGGCAATAAAATTTAAGGAAATTATTTATGTTGCTAACCATAGATCTTTTATTCTAAAATTACACTTTTTGAAATCTTAATTGTTATTTATATCTCAGTGGGTTGGAATTGGCCGAAGTAATTTTTTAGTAAAAGTTAATGAATAATGTATTTTCAGAGCCTTTGAATATGTGAGACTATTTTTCATACTCCTTTACAAATGAAAGGCAGTTGACTCGCGATAGCTTTCTTTAATGAATCTCCTTTCTTCTGTAATTTAATAATACAGGAGAAATTTAAGACCAACCAGATAGTTATTCCTTTCTTGATGACTTATTAATGTGTTAACTTGTTTTGTTCTCATGACTAATATAGAAGATTTATTTATTTATTTATTTATTTATTTATTTATTTATTTATTTTTAATTTTAACCCTAGGACTCAAAATTTTTTTCAGAATGTGGCTTTGAATTGTGTTGCATATAGTTTGGAATACAGTTTAGTCCTCTTTACTTTTTTCAGTTCAGTTTCTTTTTTTTTTTCAATTGTGTCTCTGATTATTACTTGTATTTCAGTTCTTCATTTTTTGTTTTCTCAGAAGCAACTATAATTAGACTTGGTTTTTCTAAACCAAGCACCAGGGTCTTCTTTCCTCTATTGGTTCTTGTCTCTGGCCTTGTGTGGGTGTTTGTCTTCTACATCAACGATTGAATTTTACACAGTATGCCCCCACCCCCATATGGGCAATAATTCTGTCACTTTATTTTTAGCTTCTTTATTTTACCTATAATCTCTTTTTATCTTACCTTTTATTATCTTATCTTTTTACCTTATCTTTTATTGATTTATGGCTTTCTATTTTTCTTTTTAAGGGACATATCTTCTTGTATCATATTAACAAATAACAAATACTTTTCTAAAATTTGCATCTGGTTCTTTTAGGAAGTCATTTTTAGGACATTCCTTTTAATGTTTAGCATCCTCTTTTCTTTCCATACTTATGCAGTACTTCTTAGTAGACCTATGTTGACGTTTGGCTGTTATGTTCATTATTCCTGAATTTGGAAATCTCCATCTAGACCTGCTCACAGAGAGGGTACTGGGTTGCTCTTGGCCTCCTCTCTGCCCTCCGTTTGCCAGTAAAAGGCCTCTTTCAGATCTCTGATCTGGTAGCAGGTTGATGTTTATGGACCCTGGTGCATTCTCAGTGGACTAAGAGTTTTATCCAATGCAGCTCTCTCCAATGCCTTGTTCTCTGTTACTCTGTGTACTGATTGTATAAGAAGCCAGTCCCCAGTATGCAACACCACCATATCATCTTGTCCATAAATCTGCTTTTCTGCAACTAAAGACTCCCAGTACTTCCCTTTCTTCTCATTCATCGTTTGAGCGTGGCAATCACTAATTGATTGGGTAGAAGGAGTCTCCTGTTGCCTCAAAAAGCATCATTCATGACAGAGTTGTCTAGGTTTCTGACTGATACAGGTTTTTGCATTTCTATACAAGATGGCAGAAAGTGGAGAAAGGAAGCTATACAAAGATTGTCCTACCTCTTTCAAGACCCTTGCTTGTTTCTCTGATTGCATTTTAAAAATCTAATTTTATTCTTTTTTTCTGCTCTAAAATTTTTTCTCTGATTCTTACAGTAGGTTGAAGGTTATTTCTTTCTTTTTCTTGACTGCATACAGTTTTATTTACCCCTCTTTTTATAGATATTTTTGTGAGAGGTTGGGAGAGGCTATATCAGGGGCTGGCAGCTAGACATTATTTAAAACTGTAACTTTTAAGAAATTATACAAATAAAAAAAAAGTACTTTCTGCCTGTGGCAAAATGCTTGCAAATTTTGCTTCTTGCAGATATTTATGCAAATAAATTCTTCCTTGTAAATATTCATCACAAATTGTTACTCAAATGATGGAGGCATCTGTGTTTCTGTAATAGAACCTATGTCTTATGAAAACTGGGTCATTTTAGTGATAAAATAAAATGTAAATACATCAGTTATTGTAGGAATTCCAGTGACTTCCATAAAATTTTCATTTTACGTAAAAACGGCCTGATCACTGGCTATTAAAAAAAAAGTCTTAGAGCTGAAACAGCAGCTATAAATTATTTTATCTAGGAGTTGCAAACTCAGCTGCCCTCAGGGGCCAAAAAGTGACCTGCAAATTCATGCAGTAGGTTGGATTAATATAATAGGAAGTGAGAGGTACTAGAGACAAGTGCAGATTACTGGTGCTGTCAAATCCTTCAGCCATGGGTATAATATCAAAACAGTAAACTATCAAGAACAGTGTTATAGAAACAGATTCCCCCATTATAGTGATGGAACGGAGGTCAAGGGATATTAATAGATTTTCCCCAAATTTGGACACTCTACCTGTTGTAATCAGAATGACCTATATAATTTGCAGGGCCCAATGCAAAATAAAACATGGGGCCCCATGTTCAACAATTATTAAGAATTTCAAAATAGTGACAGCAAAGTGTTAAACCAAGCATGAGACTGCACAAGTTACATGCCCTTGAAGCCATCCCTGGCCTTAGCTTTTGTACATCCAAACAGAAAGAAACACACAGAGACTCTCACTGACAACCATCAAAAAACTGATAACAGAGATGGGCTGAAACTTAAAATCGACTCTGATTCTGCAGTAAGTGATTGTGCCTTTACTTACAAGAGAGTTTTTGTATGAGGATTTTAGAATCATTGCTTTTCTACATTGTTTGGAAGCTTTCATCAGTTTACTGCTTCCATCAGTTTCTTCCTGAAGTCAGGTTTTATAAATTGTTAGTTGAAGATTTTCAACCCTGAAGTCTAAACTCTTCTCTAAATGTTAGTTCTGAGTTGAATTTCAGAATGTTTGAAGTGTCACTCAACCCTGGAATACAACTCTAAGGGTTTGTGTCTGCTCAGCTCTGTCTTACCTGAATGGAGCTGTCATTTCTTCCAGGAAATTTTGTCTATAACTTGAATCATCTCCTAAAATAACCTTTTTTTTTTCACCTTATTTGACATTTTTACATAGCTTGCAAACACAAAAAGCAATTTGCCTCCTGACAGATGGATGGAATTTGACTAGTCATTTCTCCTGAGTTCACTTACTTATAACCCACAGTACATTAACACCATTAACAACATAACCTCAGGAATGCTATTTAGTGAAATCTAGCCAGTTTTTAAAGGCACAAGCTATTAAAAGTCAAAAAATCTAAGAAGTAAAATTGGGAATTGAGTAATAGGGTAAGAGTGTTTTTTTGTAGTACCTACCTAATTTATATAATGTCTATATAAATAAAGTCATATTTTAAAAGACAAACATCCTTTTGTCTTTTAATTTTTTTAATTGAAAGAGAACTTAAATCTTTTTACTTATTAAAAAAGTGAAAGTATAACAGCTAGTTTGGAAAGGTATAAGATTGTCATTAACGGTTCTACATCAGATGGATGATTTAGATTCCAAATGTGTTTCTTTAGTAATGTTCACAAAGATGTTGGTAAAGATTTGTTAAAAGACAATGGAAAACATCATACCTGCTTTAAAAATATTAAGGTTTTTATTTTTAGAACAAATATGAACTTGAGTTAAGTCAAGTTGATATCTGAGTCAGACAGGATTCAAAACTAGCTTATATATCTTCATATTGTTGAAATATATCCCTTCACGAGCAATTAATAAGAGGAAATTCACATGGAGAAAGAGAAGATGAGCAAATGGGCAAATACATTAAATAAATGAAAGAAAATTTAGGTTGTGAATGTAATTATTAATGTTTAGAATATTTGCAGCAACCCATGCACATGATTCTATATGTTCAGCTAGCACTAAAATTGCTCATTAAGTTTAATCCCTGGTTGGGGCAAGGGTGGGGATGGGGTTGGGGCAGATTTAATGGACCCTTTCACTTACATGTTACAGAATATGCTGTGAAATATATAAACTGAATGTCATAGAATTTTTTTTAACCTTCTACAGGTGGAGATTTTCATTTTACCTTTATGTATTTACCTATGGAGTCCGGTTCCTGAAAAAGGTATGATCTGTCAAGTTACTTTATATAATTATTATGTAACTGTAAGCCTACATCTCATTTTGTATGTGTGACAATAGTAATATTTTAAAGAATCACAACAGGCTTCCTAAGAGCTATTGGTGCATGTTCTTTGACTTACAAAAGTATTTGCAAGTTTATTCTTTATAGCAAAAAAAAATTTAGGCATATACCTAAAATACTTTCAAAAATAATTTGTTTTTCCAGTGAAAGGTGTTGCTGAGTCCTCAGACCACTCCAGTTGGTTATTGCTTGTGGGCGTTAGGAGCCTTATACCATCCATCTGAGGCTTTAAAAGAAGTTAGTTTCCACATCACACATCATACAGCTTGAAAAAAATCAGTTGTAATGTGTGTTATCATTGTAGTCTTCATTAATAGGAATTATATTTTATTATAAATTAAACTGTAAATTATAAATTAACAGGGTAACACTAACTGCAGGTGGGAAATTCAGTTCCCTTCATAGATGGTGTTTCTCCTGCTGCTGCTTTGCTCTTCATGCGTGGACTGAGTGAGGCACTTTTATCTACGAAAGCAAATCTCTGAGGCTGCCAAGTCTTCTTCCTGGTTATTTCGATGCTTAATGTCACTAATAACAATTAAGCAGCTTAAATTCAAGACTCAGGAAGACTTATCTTCTTATAGTCATGCACATATTAAAAATAGTGACTTGTTTTGCAGAAAATGGGGAATTACTTTAAAGAATATATTATTAACCTTTAAAGTTATATCAATGTTATCTTTATTTAGTTCAAAATGTTTTTCCAAAATAGGGCATTGTGTTAAGTTGGCATGTCTTACTAGTAAATTTTACAGGTAAATATTGATGTGAAAATTGCAAATGCATTTTTATTTTGAAAGTCTGAGTTACAAGAGATTGTCTGCCTGTGTCAAGTTCTATTATAAATAGTGGCTGTTTCCCAGTATCATGTTTTCCAAAAGGAAATATCTTTTTACTTGTATTTTCCTTTAGTAACTACACTCATTTTTCACTTAATAAGATCACATGTCCCAGAGGCCATTTGAATAGATTTAAAAGGACAAACTTCATTCTGTAGGCTTTCTAAGTATGAAGAAATTCTCAGCTGGGTACAAAAATGTGGTAGAAACTGCTTGTTTTGGAACCCTACTGTTCTAGTTTTGAAACTTATCTAGGAGAAAAATGGAGAGAATGGCTGTAGAGCTTCTGTGCTTACAACTTTGCTACTTTGGGAGAGGAAATAGCTTTGAGTAGAATTTTGGCAGACATGGGGGAGTTGTGCTTCACGGGAATGTCGACTTGCTAACTGAAGTCAAGGTTTGGAATTCCTGTTGGGTTCTGTTGGTGAAGGGCTTTGATGGGGAGCACGGAAAGATGGTGAGAGCCAGGAGCACTTTTTTGCCCTTTCCCCTAGACCTGCAGGATATGGTCTATTTTAGCTCTCATACAACCAGCCTGACCATCTGTCATGAGAACAGGAAACACTTTGATGCTTAGTTCTGGTTCACTCTGACCCTAAACAAACTGAATGGAACAAGAATAGTTTTCGTGCCCCCGTCCTCAGTGGCTGTGTGGAAGGCTGTAAGAAGGCCAGTCAATAGAACATTTGCTTGGAAATTGTTTTTTTCCTACCAGTTACCATGCAAATTATAGTCAAAATAAATGCGTAAAAAAATGAAAAAAGAACTAGATGTTCTTCATGTTGAATTATTTGTATTTGGGGTTTCTTCCTTGAATACTAAGAAGCACTCAGTTTGGGCTGAGCTATATAGTTTAGTGTTCGTCGTAATGTGTGATAGAAAAGTACACAAAGAATCCATGTGACCAAACTAGCTGTGGAGGACTTCGTAAGCAGTCTTGTGCAACCCTCGTATTTCACAGCTGAGGAAGCAGAAACACTGAGAGGGTAGGTGGCATTCCAAAGCTCACACAATTAGTATATTAAAGGCTGAATATGAAATGAAACACACACTGCTGTCTCTTATTCCAGTATTTTCTCCACTTCACCATCCTGTCCTCACTTCAGCCTGATTTCCCGATGACTTCCTTCTTTGGTTAAGTTAGCAAACTTGACCTAATGTGGTCCTTGTTTTTCTATTTATAGAATTAAATACTTATTTAAATGGATATTTCAAATATACTTCTATTAACTTTCTTGGAATGGACAATATATTTGCCCATCTAACCCAAGAGGAAAAAAAAATTGTTATGGAGGCAGAATCAGACATAATCAAATCAAGGTAATTCAAAATTTCATAATACTGTAAATGTTTTAAAATAAAATACCAGGGTAGTGGACCAATTTTATGAGGCCACGGCTGCTTCTTACTCCTGGCATCAAAAATGTGGATTACTACAGGGGCCGTTAGAAAAATGACTGGACAGCTTGTACTGTCCAAGTACCTGATACATCTCATCTGCGGTGGGTTAAGTAATGTTAAGAACCCTTCCTTACCCTGAAAATACTAGTTAAAAAATTAATTTGCCAAATGCAAAGCACCATGCACCTACAGTAATGGATAGAGAATCTTAAAAAATAAAAGCAAATGAATTAATAAATAATTTTTGAAAACCATAGAATTTTAGATGTAAAAGTTATGCATATCATCTAAACATCTTATTTTATAGATGAGGCCATGGGGTATCCATCTCTAGCGTAAGAATAGCTTTGGTTTTCTCTGTCATGTTGAAATACATCCAAGCTGAACACTGAAATTTTATTAAAGCTGTTAATTTTTCCAATTCGAATTGGCTAACCCCTATAGGGAGAATATATGTATTTTCCTGGGTTTATGCTAGAGTTTTAGTGTATAAATATGACTGATTTAAGTTCCCTCAGTTTAAAAATAATCTTTATATTTAGAAATAAGGCAGTTAAGAGTTTTTAGATATGTATAAACCAGGTTTATGTCAATAAACGTTTGTGCTTAGTGCGCTTTGTCTGGCTCCTCAGAAAAGACAACAAGAAGAGAATCAATGTGCAAGAAATTGATTAGGGGAAATGCCTGTGAGAAAAAATGGAGAGGGAGTCAGCCGGAGGTTGCAAGAGCCTTCAGACCACAATCTAAGCCTGACCCTGAGAGGAAAAGAATGTTGGGTGAAGCTCTAAGACTGCTGTGCCTCTCTAAGGAAAGTTCAGTAAGGGCCCTGGGGAGTCCTGGGGCCACAGTTGCAGTCAGAGACCTATGTCTCCCAGAAATGGGCTTGCCCCTAGTGTTTCTGTTGTGCTCAGTCACTGACTGGGAGCAGCCTGACCAGCATGGCTTTCATGCAAATGCAGCTGTGGAATTGAGAGCACAGCAACTGGGCCCTGGGTCAGTTACACCCCCAGCAGCACTAGATTGAAGGGGCACATTCTCATGGTTGCCATTTGTGCTTTATTTTAACAAATATTCCAGCTATTCAGAGTGAAGCCGAAGGATACATTGTGGAATAAGACCCTATGTGACACAGAAATTATGTTTCCATACACAAGATGCCTGGAAGCTTAGAGACCTATTCACCTTTCATACTTTTTTTGTCACTTATTATGCATTGACTTAATCTCTCCATTATGGAATAGTCCTTGTAGTTGATGAGTAAATGTATCTTCGGAGCAATACACAGACTGACTTCCCGTTTGAGTTGGGTGACCATACAAGCTGTCCCTTATGCTCAAATGTCCAGTTTGGGTGATAAATTACATGGTCACCTTATGAATAGTTCTGTAACAAATGATGAAATAATTTGCCCTATATTTTCAAATTTTGCAGACACCCTGTAAAGTATGCATGTGTTTATATGAAATAAACAAAATGTTTTCTGTAGTTTCATGATGACAAATAGGGAATGAACCTATTTGAGTGATGTGATAATGCTCAGGTGTGTATATATTATATGTTGTCTTTGTTTTCTCAGCTTAGAGCTCCCTTAACTGTAGTACTAACTTTGATCATGGAAGTAGACTCTAGAAGCCATGGACCTTACATACATGTTAGTGAACTGTTAAGTAAAATTATTGCTAGGTTAGTAGAAAGTATTTAAATAGTTGAAAGATAAGACTATCTCAATAGCCTGTTCCTGTAATTGCTGGACACAAGTGACTCTTTGCCTATAAATATTAATATGATTGACAGAGACAGTGCTTTTCTAGAAAGACCCAGAATTACTTCAAGTGCTATGAAGTCCTATGACACAAAATACTCTTATAAATTAACACATTTTCCTAGGTCCTGAAAGAAACCACATATCAAGCCTTAGAAGACAGAACTATCTTTCATTTACTGTTACCTCTTTCTTATTTGCAAATGGAAGATTGTATTGGATGGAGTTCTTTGTATATTTTTCTTTGAGTTCCTTTACTTACTTTTATAAATTATTGTGTCACAGGAAAGCAGTAGAGATATATGTGCAACTGGGATTTAGGTAAATATTTTTTCTCGTAATCTACTTGTTAGGCTAATGTATTTCCAGCTTTTGGACCATATGCTGCATTTTATAACGCAATCCATTTTGTATACATGCATGTATATGATTAAAATAGAATTTACACAGCATATGCCTACACTTAACCTCTGCATCAGTCAGGGGCCCATGAGGAGACAGAAACCATAAGAGTGATTTTAGGAGTGACTATAATATAAAGAATCATTAACCAAATGGGAACCACTATGACTGTAGTCAATGTGCTCATGGTTTGCTACCAGTCTGTGATGAGATAAGGAGCTTGGCCTGAATGTAAATCAACTCACTGCTTCTTTTTTGAGAAAGCCGACCTATGAAGAAAAGTCAGCTGAACTGCACAGTGTGGTGAGTGATGTGGTTAATTTACATTCTGGCGAAGCAGCAGTGAACATTTCAAGGACTGGTACTGTCTGTACATGAGACTTTGATTAGCACTGCACGGAAGTGTCATGGCGGTAGTAATGGCAGAAAGAAGCTACCTCTCTGAGGACTGGGGCTTATTAGGAAGAAGTGGAGTTATCACAACCTAGAATTTTGAAGGAGGAGTCGTGGAGCTG